ATGAGCCCGATGCCAGGTAAGTTAAATATGCAACAAATTGCCATTTCGACCCGTTCTGCAATTTGTACCTGATGGATGCTTTGGGAATGCAGGAATTTCGGGAACAACAGGCCCGCTTCCCAAGAAAGGACCGGTGACGCAAGGTAAATTTTTTTTCGCTATCCATGATATCAACGAAATTATGTGCATTTCAGATTCCGCCTTTCTGATTTTTGGGCACTGTCTTTCCTCGTCTAGGTTTCCAATTTAATTTTTGGCAAGAATATACCATGGAAACATGTTTTCTAGCTTTATTATTAATATAGTAACCGTAATTTTTTTGCTTTGCGCCAACACCATGTCTTTAGCAAATCTGGATCTTTATCCGTTGCGAGATGATGAGAACCGTCGTTTCGGTAGAGGGTCTTCGGAGTCCTGGAATCATGCACAATATAGCACATATTGGGAGCAAAACTATGCACGCGGAATGCCAAATGCCGGATTAAATGGGCACCGTACGTTATTAAGCTCTTAGAGTGTAGGGAAAAAACTAGTGTCAGTATCGTCCGCGGAGACACGAATCGCTTTCACGTAAAATCACTCTGCATTCTAATTTGAGGGAAAATAAAATGTTCGTGTCGCCAGGACGAACTCGGGATTGAGTTCCTTCCATTTCATCCATGTGGCTTAACCGAGCAAAATAAAAACGGCGTGGATTCCAAGCCCCCAGACTCCGTCGCCCACGACCTCAACCTGTTGCCAATCCACCTCAGGGCACCCATTGCAAAATCTATTGGCACTTAGAGCACTGGCCGAGCCCATCTATCGGAATGGTTCTTCGTGATTACTCCGAAGACGCCTTGTTCTTTCGGGCCTGCGCTGGCCTCGACCAGAATTGTGGCAATATTCTGGCAGGATTTGGCAGGGGATGACGAATACAAGGAGAAAAAAAATTGCTACATGAACATGAACTGGTCCCCATGGTACTTGAAGGTACATTTACCGAAGTGAAGGAGGACCAGGGCGAACACATAAAGACTCACAAAAATGAATTCCGTTGGGGCACCCGGTTATTCGTTCGATTACGTTAAAGTTGACAAGGTCTCTTTCGCCTAATTCACCCCAGAGTCGGTCCTGTAAGAGAATATAAATAATTCAGCTGGTCCTCAGGGCGTGTGTTCTCAATCCCTCTGTCAGAGGCTATTAGCTCTCATTAACCGTAAAATATTGAGAAAATAACAATAGGGAATGCTGTGAAGGGAACTAATGATGTTCAAGCAAAGCTATCCCAGGTAAATTTACAGCTATGTGCGTTTCCGCGAGTAACGCTGCACTACTATGAAGTATCGTGTAGAAGTAATGCTCTCTCGTGTAGAAGTAATGCCCTCGTGCTCATCCCTAGGCATACCATCCTCTGGGAACCAAACATCCCCGAAAAATTGGACTGCTACGCTGAAGCGCTCGACAAGCAATCCCGCGGTTTCGCCGTCATATTCCACCACGAGAAATTCGACGGCCGTCGCCTCCCTGCCCGCCCGGAGGTGAGGAAGGACGTGGAGAACTTGACGCGCGTTTTCGTGGAGAGGGGATTCACCGTCAAAGCATTCAAGGACCTCCGCTACGAGAGCATCAAGAAGGAATTGATCGACAGTGAGGCCGTTTCTGAGACGAGCTCAGTCTTCTTTCACAACGGAGTGGCTTCGTTTGATTGCACGTTGGGCAATATTCTCTCAAATGCTCAGTTCTAGCAGTTTTAAGGTCTTTCTAGCAATAACTAGAAGAGAACTCACTCCGTTTTGGAATGAAGTCCCGCTACGAGCGTCATGTTCAACGTCTGCACAGACACGATGTCATTCATGTTGACGAGAATTTATGTTTCTTTTTACACAGTTGCCAGCTCGAAAGAACTCAAAAATCACGACTGCTTCATTTTGTGCTTTCTATCTCACGGGAAAGAAGGCCGCCTTTATGCCAAGGATAAATCCTTCGACGAGAAGAAACTGTGGAATCGATTCTACGACTGTGAAGCTCTCGTCGGGAAACCGAAACTCTTCTTCATTCAGGTACGGAATGATTTTATATCAGGCGTCTTATTATTCAAGAAATGGAATGATTTTTCTTGAACAAACGATTTTGAATTCCGTATTTGTAGGCATGCAGGGGAAACTATTACGACGACGGCATGAAGGGAAATGCAATCAGTACTGACAGCTCACGGATTGACACACTCGACCACGACGGGTGGGAAGGCGATGAAGACTTTAAGGGCGAGTACCACCTCCCTACCCACGCCAACGTCCTCATCGCCCACGCGACCTACGAAGGTGAGCTCCCAGCGACCATTTTTCCTCGTAACCTCCAGCGGGCAGAACCTGACGGCAGGATTTCCTTTAAACGGCAGGACACGTTGCGTGGAAAAGCGAGAACGTGGGGTCGTACTTCGTCTACACCGTGTGCAAGGTCTTGGAGAAGCACTCCGAGACTATGGACGTGATGACGATGCTCACGATTGCGGCGGGCGTCATGGCCGAGGACTTCATGTCCGTGAGCGACGATCTACAAAAACACG